CTCAAATAAATAAATAAAATCTTTAAAAAAAAAAAAAAAAGTCTCCAGACCAGGTTTCCCCATCAGTCTTGTATTAAGGTTCCACAGCCATCCTCAGTCTGAGCTCATCTTATCTTTCTGTCCTTACCTCTTACTGTTTTCCTTCCAGCACTGTGCTCACTCAAAACAAACGCTAGAGAAGGGGCATACATATGCTTCCTGCTAGTGTTTATATGGGAAATTAGTTTGAAGGCTGAAATCATTAAGTTCTCTATAACCCACGTTTTGATTCCAGGAAACAAAATCTTTTGGTACCATCCCTTGTGAATCTCATTTTTTAAGTTGAGCTGCAGACCTGACACTAAATTGTCAGACTCTATCTGAGCCAACCACGAGGCTGTGATTTCCTCCAAATCCCAGGACGATGTTGGACCCAATGAGAACACTTCAGAAGAACTGCTAAATGAAAGATGGCATTATTGGGGCTTTCACGTAACTTAATGGACTGATTGACGGCTGCTCTCCTCTCCCAACCCACGCCACAGCCACCCCACTTGGGATTGGAGGGCAGAGGGATATCAGCAATTTCAGCTCAGTGTATGCAAGGACAGGGATGTGGAAACTGGCAAGTAGAAACAAGGCAGCGTAGCAAAATGCTTAAGAACAAGGGTTTGGGGACCAAACAAACCTGGATGAAATAATACAATGTCGAGAATTGGATTCAAAATAATCTGGGTAGAGGGAGCAGAAAGTGGGTGGGAATAGAGGTGAAACTAGATTGGCCATGAGATCATCGCTAATGCGGGCTGAGTGGTTCGTGGAAATTCATTTTACATACTGTTGTAGCCTCTGCTTTTCTGTATGTTTGAATTTTCCATAATAAAAAGTTCACATAAAACCACACAGTTAGTAAGTGACCAGGATGGAATCAGAATCAGAGCTCTGTGATTCCAAAGCCTGTCGGTCCAAAAGACCTCCTGGAAAAGCTGGTATCCAGGATGCCCCTTGCGGTGGGCATGGGACATAGATGAGAGAGTGAGGGAAAGGTAATTCCAGTGTGGGGAGTGGTGAGAGTTAAGTTGAATCCAGGTATGTGTGTGAGACAGCTGGAAAAAACAGGGCCAAGGAAATTTGAGGAGAAGAAAGAAATAGCCTTGGGTAGGATATGATCAGATATTGATGAACGTGGAAGTCCATTGAGGAATCGGAACGTGATCACTAGAATCTGCTCAACATCGGTACGGTGTGTTTTAGCGCAGATGTGAAATTTTGAAAGCAGGGTGAGTAGGAGTAGAACTTCAGGGAGAAAGCTAAGTTCGTCCCCCATTACTCAGGATCTGGATGGGGAATAACGGCTTGGATTTCAGTGCCATTCAGAAAACATTTCTAAAGGCCTACTTTGTACTAGGTATTACTGGCTATTCGTGGAGCTGAATGAAAATAAGGCATAATGAATCAGAGAAGGGTAACAGGACCCGAGAGGTCAGAGAAGTACGCAGGCATCCTAACGCAGACGAGTCGGCTGGGTTGTTTATGTTAATACATAATACAGGACTGGTCTGGAATTTTTATCGTCTTTTTTTTTTCCTTTCAGATTTTGAAATTGGAGGTAGTATCAAGGAGGATACAACACAGGTAATATATAAGGACTTGGAGCAGCATAGGGCATTAATAGAAAAGTCTAAAAGGGTCATTTCCCAGAACGCTGATCCAGGTAAATACCGTAAAAGGGAATGCATCTCAGGAAGACAATGGGAAACCCTTCAAGGCTTCAGACAGGGAAAGCTGACGTCTCAGCCGAGAGATATAGGGAAAGCTGTAGTGCATCCGAGGCCTTTCATGGGGAAGAGACCCTATCGACTGCTCAAATACGGAGAAAGCTTTGGAAGGAATGCTCGTCTTATGTGCCGGATGACCCACCAGAAGGAAAATCCTTATAAATGCAGTGTCTGTGGGAAGTGCTTTGGTAGAAGCAGGAGCCTAATCAGACATCAAAGAATCCACACCGGAGAAAAACCTTTTAAATGTCTTGACTGTGGGAAAAGCTTTAATGACTCCTCCAACTTTGGTGCCCACCAGAGAATCCACACTGGGGAGAAACCCTACAGGTGTGGGGAATGTGGAAAATGCTTTAGTCAGAGCTCAAGTCTTATCATACATCAAAGAACCCACACTGGAGAGAAGCCCTATCAGTGTGGAGAGTGCGGGAAGAGCTTTACCAACAGCTCCCATTTCAGCGCCCACCGCAGGGTGCACACTGGCGAGAACCCCTACAAATGTGTGGACTGTGAAAAGAGTTTCAATAACTGTACAAGATTTCGAGAGCATCGGAGGATACATACTGGAGAGAAGCCCTACGGCTGTGCCCAATGTGGCAAACGTTTCAGTAAGAGTTCTGTCCTCACCAAACATCGGGAAGTTCATTCAAGAGAAAAGCTTCTGCCACACCCACCATCCACGTATTCCCCGGAGAACCCGCCTAAGGGAAAGACTGACGAATTCAGGAAAACTTTTTGACGTTGACCTCTTCTCCTCCTACGTGCCCTGTTAGCCATTTTTCCCCACCCTCACCCTTGGAAGCGGTCTTTTCTTAGCTATGAAGTGTAATTCCCAAGACAAACTTGAGAATATAAATCAACTAAGAGTCCGCCTCGTGTTCTCACCTCCGCCTCTAACTTTACCAGTCTGTTCCTCTCAACTTCTCCCTTAGCAAAGTGGAGAAGACTGTCCTGTCTGGGTTCCTTCGGTATGTCGAGGCCTCTGCCGTGGGACTGCCAAGTCCAGCAACGTTCAAGGTCCCTCCATGTAGCTGAGAGTTGTTTTCAAGCAGACCCAACATGCTGGAAGTTTCCTGTTTTCCACCACGTGGGAGCCCGGATGCAACTTGATCCCAGATTTCTTGTTGGAGTAGAACTTTCAGGAGTCTGGTCAGGATGACACCACATGCATCTTGGTTTTGAAGATAAAAGGGAGATTGAGATTTTACAGCTTCCTTGAGAAGTCTGTTGCACTATACGCTTTTGTGTCACGTCGATCCCCACAGCTAGGGTGAGTCCCCGTATTGTCCCTGAAGCCACGTTACTAACGCCTCGCCCTCCATAGAGATGAGAAGCAACTGATCACCCACCATGCCGACCTTTTCTGGACCTGAAGACCGAAACCCCCTTGTCTGCTGCTTCTCCAGCCCCTGAGTAATCCAGTTCCTCTTACCATTTCTCGAAAGTCCTACACTTACCTCTTAGGTGTTCTGGGTGCTCTCGTCTGACTCTCCTGAACTACCAGGCCCTCCCCAGATTAAATAGGATGCATGCCCGTGGTGTGTCTCATTAAAAGAAAGTAGAATCTTAGACACTTTCTACCCTACCACTGCTCTGGTTCTTACCTAGAACATGACTGGCATGTTGGCATATTTTATGCCTCCCAACCCCACACTTCAGTATAATGTTATATAATAATAGTTTTCTCAAACTTTAAGGGGGTAGGGAAGAAATGTGGTAGAAACCGGAAACCTTCACTATTTCTAAGACCAGTCGGACTCCTTAGGCCTGCTCTAGATCAGATAGCTGCTCATTCAGACCACCACCTCCAGGGCTGTTTGTTAAATACAATCAGCCTTTTCTGAGGTTTCTAGTACCTGTTGATAGGATCACCCACCTAACTGTAGAGCCCAGAGTAATTTATATAACTCTATAGCTTACTGAGTGAAAGTGGAAAGATTTACAGAAACTTCCAATCTAGAACACTATTGTCGTTTTCCTCATTTACCTATTTGTCCGAAAAACCTCTTTGATAATCCCCTAGGACTAACCCAACAGGTATTGAAGGGAGAGTAAAAATGGGGAGGGGAAAGGCAGGGAGGTAGTTAATTCATTTCTGGAAGTTACAGATGAAACCACAGAACCTGGTCTTCCAAGGCTGGTTGCTCCAGGATGAGACCAGTGACATTTATGCCCTTACTACGTAGGTAACCGGGGGCGGCTTTGCTTTGGGGAGGGGAAGTCCCAAGTTCGGTGGAAGGACAGCCAGAGTCAGGGCTGTGTGGAGATTCTTTTGATCTGATCTCTCCTCTCCTTTGTCAGATGTTCTTGTATTTGAAGACATCTGGAGATATTTTTCCTTTGAGGATGTTTGAATCTTTCGAAGCCGGTTCAGCAGAGTTCCAAGGAGGGCAGGCAGTGTAGAAAGAAATCCAATTCACAGTGCCAGAATAGGGTGTGGCCTGCTGGAAGGCAGGTGACTCAGGTACACATTGATACATGTTTCCGATTTACATTCGTTGGAGATGTTACGACTGTTCCCACCTCTGTAGGTTGATTTCCTACATGTGCTCTGAATCACAGGCTTCTAATGGTTAAGTGCAGTGTCATGTCGTCAGTGTGCCTAGCACAGTGAGATGCGTGCGGCGCCCGTGGGCATGTCCTTGTATTGTGTCGATGTTCTGGAATTCCAGCCCTAGAGAAGATGCCCATGAATAGAAATCACCACTTAGTAAGACGTACACAGGATGGATAATTATATGGAAGCATGATTCAGGAAAGTAGATGATTTATTCCTAAGTATGTATTAAGTACTGTTCCGTGTAAGGGCGTGCTCCAGGCACTGAGGGCGGGCGAACACAGAGAGACGCGGTGGCCCGGCTCGGGGAGCTGGCAGCGAGACAGAGGAGGTACTGCAGCAAAGGTAATTAATGCCCATTCCCTTTGCGTCACTTGCAAAAGGTCAGTGACTCCACCGTGAGAAAATCACGTTCTTCTGAATTGCCTCAAACTGTGTACCTCTGCCTCTCCGACGTCCCCAGCGGCAGGAAAGGTGCAGGACCCATTCCATCTCGGGTGGAACAGACCGAGTCTGTGTGAGTTTCATTCCTCTGGGGCCGCACAAAGGTGGAGCCCGGGTTCCTCTGCCTGCGTTCCTAGTGGTAAACGGGCTGTCTGGATGTGGGCTAAGTTGCCTTCACGAACTCTGTCTCTGTGCTGAAGAAGTAGAAGGTCCTGCCCACCATCTTAGACCAAGACAACTTGCATCTTGTCTTTTCTCAACTGGAGCATGAAAGTCAGAATGAATAATGTGTCTTTTATATCACATAGCATTGCCTTTATGAAGATCCGTAGGAAAAGGTTTTTCTCTGGGTCTCGGTACCAGGGAAAGCTCTGATCCTAAACAGGAAAAAAAAAAAAAAAGGATTACAAACACTGTGATTTTTATAACTTACTGCTTTTCTGTCTTTGTTCTGGCTGCTGGAAAGCTCAACAAAACATACCAGGCCACCTCAACCAACTACCTAAAACCTCTATGTGTTTAATCCTATCTGATTTCTTTGAAATTTACCCCAAATCCTATTTTTTAAAAGCAGTATGAACAACTGGACATTTTATTCTCTGACATCTTACCCAGGGCACTTTGGAAACTGGCTTGTATTCCCTGCCTACACTTGCTTTGTTACCCCCACAAATACCTCCAGTTCGTACCAGTGATTTTATTACACATACAACCTGATGTGTTCATAAATCGTCTTTAAAGAAGGAAACTTCACACATTCGCTTAAACCGCTCAGGGCGGCCTGCCCTGGGGGCGCGAGCATTAGACCAGAAGCCAAAAGGAACACATTTCAATCTTGCCGCTATCACTTACTGAGCGTTGTTTGACAAACCTCAGCCTCTCTGGGCTGGTGTTCCTTATCGGGAGAGACGTTGAACTTGATTGCCGAGAACGCTCTGGCTCTAATGTTTAGTGAGACTGCAGGGCGCGGAGTAGATGAGGAAGAGGATGCATGTATATGCATCTATAATGCATATAAGACCAGGTAGCTAGCCTGGCCTGCCCCGGCAGGTGGCATCCAGGCCACACTGAACCCACTTCACACTTTAGGAAGAGGGAGGCCGTGAGCAGCCCGGGAGCTCGCGCAGTGATGAGAAAAGACACGTGTTCACCAGCAGGCAGCCCCTGGGGCTCCTTGGTAGCCGACAGCAGGTAGCTGCAGTGAAGAAAGCCCTGATGTGAGGTCTGGTGCCCAGTGACGAACGGGACTCCGCTAGGAAGGAGCCGGGGAAGCCCCAGACGCAAGGCATGTGTGAGCAGCTTGTGTGGCCCTTAGGTTTGGCCTCTGAGTGCATTCCAGGTATAAATGTATGTCTGTTCATTGTTTTGTACTCACGTTCACTTAGATGTCTTCTTGAAAACTTGTCTGTGAAATAAATGTCGAAAATAAATGACTCCCGTGGTTTTTGCCATAATTTGAAGGAGGTGTTCCATTAAAGGAAAAGAGAACTTATCCAAGAGGTCATAAAAGCAGATCCCAGTGGCTCTGTAAAGAGAGTCTCAGTATGATCCCAGCTCCCTGCTCTCCCCACACCTCCCAGGACCCTTCGTGCATCCCCAGCTGTCTGCCTGTAGCCCTTGGAGAGCTGTCTCTGCCACCGGGCCCAGCAACGGCTCTGACTCTAGTGTGGAGTTCACCCTGGATGCACGGAGCTTGTGTGTTCTGGGTGAGGCCCCTACCCATAGCCTTTCCTGGTGGTTTGAACCAGTCTCGACAATGTCCCCAAAGAGACAGTGTGGCTTTGGATTTACTGTTTCAGTTCAGAGTCCCAGTGGCTTCCATTTCGCCCTTGTTCCCCTAACAGTGTCAACTCCACGGGTCAGAGAGTCAAGTGGAGGCTTGGCCACTCGGCAAGGATGTATTTCCAGCTAAACTGGCAGGTGCCGTAGGAAGACCCAGCGGATGGGTTCAGAGAGCCATTCACCTGAAGGTGGGGGAGACTGCGCGTCTCTCTCACCCGGGCTTTACAGGCCTCCGCTCTGCGCAGCTGGCCACAGCGGTACCCAGCATCCTCAAGAATTACAACTGCCCAGAGTCCATGTCGAAGAGGCGCCGGAAATGTTCCAGGTTTTCTGTGAGTTTTAAATGGCCACAGCCTTGGGGGAAGAAGTGCGGCATTCTCTCAGCATTGTCCCAGATTACCTGGCCTCCATTCCCTCACCGACATTTCGGACTGTGAACTGACTCATATCTGGGAATTGGATGAGAGACTTTAAACCTCTAAGGGAAAAACAAATGTTTAAGGGCTACAAATTTTCAATTCCTATAAGCCAGTTGCATCGATTAGACTTTAAGGGAGGAGAAAGAATGTTTTCATGTTTAAGAACTAAAAGGAATGCAGCTGGGGGACGAGAAACATCATTTCTTGGATCCTCCATCTGTCCTCTGAAAGAAGAGTCAAAGTGCCTGTCTGTATTACTTTCCTGGGGCTGCTGTACAAATTACCCCAAACTGGGTGACTTAACAGAAATTTATTCCCCCCCAGTTCTGAAATCAGGGCGTCAGCAAGACCATGCTCCCTCCAAGGCTGTAGGGGAAAACCTTCCTAGCTCCTAGCTCTTGGGGACTCCTGGTCCTGGCATGTGGCTCCGTGACTCCAGTCCGCCCCATCCTTCTCCGCAGGCCTTCTTTTCTGCGTCTCTTTGTCCTTCTCTGTTCCTTCTAAGGACTCCCATTGGATTTCGGGCCTGCCCTAACCCAGCGTGATCTCATCTTGATTGCTCCTTACCTTAATTACATTGCCAAGACCTTATTTCCACATATAGTCACATTCTGAGGTTCCGGGTGGACATGGATGTGGGAGGACACTATTCAACCCACTGTGCTGCTTTAGAGGGTCGTTGTGGGGAATAAACGAGATAATGCATATAAAGCAGTCTGCATAGTGCCAAGCACATAACAAATAATCCGCGTTAGCTGTACACGTGTGTGTGGGTGCACGCATGTATATGTATGTGTGTATACACGTGCATATGAGTGCATACATGTGTGTATATGTGTGTGCATGCATGTATGTATATATAACTATTTTGTTATTTACTAGATTTACCAAAACCTTATTTCATTACTTACTTAGCCAAATGAAACAGTAACCTTTAACACTTTCCACTCTTTGTAAATGTTCTAATTTGCTGCTTTCTGGTTTTTTTTTTCATATTTCCTCCCTTTGTATTTTTCTTCTTTTTTTTTTTAGGTTTATTATGGTTATTATTATTTATTTCCTTTCCTCCAAAAGTTGCTCCAGCTGTTTGGGCATGTAGCATGTCTGCTTTCTCACCAGGCAGCCTTGAAACATACTGGTGATTTTCTCTAGTGAGCATTTTCCTCTTTAAGCAAGGATTGAAAAATCCTTCCTTATTTGTGATATTTGTATCTTGCATCCAAAGACCACTGTCTCTCCAGACCCATGTTATGCCACATTATCAATTTCCTCGGGAGATCCTTGCCCCTCTGGCCTGCCCCCATCCCCACCCTCACCCCAGCGGAGTGCCCTGAGTGGGCTGGCCCATATCCTAGGTAGTGCTGGGCACTACCTCAGACCCTGGACTCTGTGTTGGGCTTTTCAGCAGGACCCTGCAGACTGTGATCAGAGATGGACTCTGAGCTCCTGGCAGAGGTCCAAGATGGGTCTGGCTGAGTGGGAGATGGGCTCTGGGGTGGCCTGCATCTGAAGTACCTACCTTGGCACTGGACTCTAAGCCACGGCCCAGCTAACTAGACTCTAGGCCGTTAAGGCCCAACCTGGACTTTTGCTTCCTCCCCCGCAGTGCTCATTTCTGAAGCAAAAAGCAAGTCCACGCCAAAGGAAATGCTGGACTATTTATTGCAAAGCTAGATTGGCAGCTCAGGAAGCAAGGAAACAGAGCCCGGCAGGCCCTTCTGTAACAGAGGAGTCTGGGGCCAGAAGAAGGAGAAAGAAAGTGGGTGGGGGAAATGAACTCATATGTAAACAGCCACCTCTTGCAACTGCTCTTCTGCTCCTGGGAGCTTCCCGGTCAAGAAAAACCCCTCTGTTGTGTGGTGCCGGGCCAGGCAGGGCTGGCAATGCGCTCCCCAGGCTGAGGTCTCTGATGAGCACGAAGAAATCTGGAGAACCTAGAGCATCCTCAGAACTTGGCAGCGGTGTGTCATCTGGGAGGCCAGGCGCCCGTGTGGGGGAAGCGGGTGGGCGGCTGCTCTGGGCCTCTGCCCCAGCAGGAAATGCAGGAGGTGGCCTGTCTGTAACCCGGGTGGGTCCTCAGAAGCCACCTGGGCCGCAGGAAAGCCTCCAGCTCAGTGTCACCGTCCCTTCAGTATTAGGCGGGTTTTCCCATCTCCAATGAAGAGCCTACAGAAAAGATGGCCCCATGAGGTCTCCGAGCCTCCAAGGGGAGAGACCCAGCCCTTCACCGAAGGTCTCCAGGCCCAGAATTCTCCAGAGAGATGCTTTCCTGAGCCTTTCCAGCCTCAATAGTCAAATCCCCTTGGGGAAAGGGAGAAACTCCTTCCTGTTTGTGTTCCAACTCTTTCCCTAAAGATGCTCATCTCTGCCATTCCCAAAGCAACAGACAGAGAATTATCAGGCTAAGCGAGGACTGTGGATGAGCAATGATGGCAGACACTTCACACCAGGCCAGCCCGGCGACAGTGCTCTCCCAGACTGGGAGGAAGGTCCAACTGGTACCAGATCCAGACCCTAATCCCCATATGACCAGAAGCAGAAAAGAAAGGACGCTACAGACCTTGGAGGCTCAGAAGACAAGAGTTCAGGAAGAAGGAGTCACGTAGATATGATCCTTCTGCTAATACCGCACGATGCCAGGGAGCACTGGTTACACTGTCGTTCATGTGAATGGCACGTGCTAGCAGGCATGCTCTCGGGGGCACCATGTACACGGTTTTCTGTGTGGATGGGGCCCCCTGGAGTTGTACGACACCCTGTGAGGAACCACTCCTCCCCCACCCTTGGTACACATGGTTGTGCAGGGAAGGCTGACCTTGCCCCGACCCCAGACACAGCCAATAAGCATGCCTGACCCCCACGGCTCCAGTGATGGATTCAGAGGTGGACATGACCCAAGCTGGGCCAATGCAAACCAGTGAACATCAGACCCCGGACTTTTGCTAGAGCCCTTGCTCTAGTTCCTCTGGAGCTTTTAAGCTGCTGGGATATAAGCCTAGAGTTCCTGGTGAGCATCTCGGCCTCTCCTGGAGAGCCTCTCAGAACATGAGGCCTGCTCAGAGGAGAGCAGAACCCATGGGAAACACCAAGGCCTAAAGACATTGCTTGAGCACCCACCTAAAGCCAGTGCTACCCGTGAACTTTTCACTTAATGTGAGCCAGTAAATTCCCCCTTGTGACACAAAGTGTGTTGAGATGGATTTCTGTCCCTTACAACCAAAGGTCCCAGAGCCATAATCTTTGCCTCTGAAGAAGCCTCCCTTTTCCCTTCTTCAACCCCAAGTGAGATGTTAGCATTGGGCACTCTGGGAACCATCACCAGGGGCCGATCAGCGGGGCCAGTGACCCGGGATCACACTCCTACCTGATGAGCACTCCCACAAGCAGGCTGGCCAGGAGCGGGCCCAGCCAGTAGATCCAGTGGAAGTCCCAGTAATTGGCCACCACGGCAGGTCCAAACGCCCGGGCGGGATTCATGCAGGCTCCAGACACGGCACCCCTGCAAACACCCAGCCACATGGTCACCAGGATCCCAGCCAGACCCCCATTCACGTCAAGTTCATTTCCCCAACTAGGCCACCACCCAGAAGCCCTCTTGAAGCCCGCATATCGTGGGGCTCTAGGGGGATCCCAAAGAAGACACAGGGGAAGAGGCTTATTAGCACCAGGAAGTGAAAGCTTGTCTGTCATCCCCTCCACACCCTTCTAGAAGAATGGCCAGCAGAGAGTGTTCAGTGATCACAGGCAGAGAAGGTGGATCTAGGTTCTTGCAACGTTGAAAAAGCAGTCATCAGCTACGTGAATTTTGGAGTCAAGCTGACCTGGATTCAAAACCCAGCCTGGCTATTTCTAAATGTGTGGCCTTTATTGAACCTCTCCGTGTTTCAGTTGAGGTCAAGGACCCACCTCATAGGCTGTCATCAGGAGTGAATGAGATCATGCAGTTAGGACCCGTGACTCACGTGTAATTCATGACAAGTGTTTCATCTAGCTAACCCAGTTGAGGCCGTTGTTGTGCCACAAGCTTGGGGCCCAGAGTATCCTATGGGGGGGAGGGGGAGGCTGTTCTCCAGGAGCACCTCTCTACTTCTGGTGTCTGTATCCTTGCCCCATTCCTGCAAGCTGGGGTCCTGCAGGTCTCACCAGATCCCACGCCCAGCAGCCACAGTCAAAAGGGCGGGTCAATTGGCTTGCAAATAAACCAATAGCCGCTAGGGGGCAGCAAAGCACAGCTGCAGCTTTACACACATCGCCCCCAGCTCCCCAGACTCCGCCTCCCAACCGAAGGATGCCGGAGGGGTGCGTGGCCGAGCCAGGAAAGGCTAGACTCTGTTCGTGTCCAGGAGGAAGGAAGGAGGTGGACATTAGGAAGGGGCTCCCTTGTCCCCTTTACCGGGAGATTTGAGCTCTTGTCCCACGTGTGTCCCTTAATTTGCCACTGTCCACTGTGTCCTCTCTGAGCTCAGTTTCCTCATATATAGAATGGGAGAAATAATCCCTGACCCAACCTTGTCTCCTTAACCCCTTCCCGAGCCCCCTGAGGGGCTCAGCCTCGATGAGTCGGTGGGTATGGAAGCTCCGTGTGAGTCTGAGGCGAAAGCCTGGCTGCCCACTGGCTGAACAAACAAGCCGACAGAAATGTCTTATTGACGCTACAGAAAATGGAAAACCTCGCATGAGAAGGCAGGTTTCCGACTTCCCTGGAGTGACGTTGCAAGGGTCACCAGAGGCCCACATTCCCTCCCAGCAACAGCTTACTGGAGGTGAACAGTGGAGCCTCCTCAGACACCCCAGTCCCCACCGCTCCCTGTTGTCTGCGGATGTCCGCCCGCTTCCTCTGTCTGCATCACCTCCGCGGCCCCTGTTAGCAACCAAGTCTGTGACCCTCAGGTAAGCTCTGCAGACCTGACCTCCTCCAGGGCCAAAGCTTGGCCCACGACTCACCCCGCCAGGATGTCCACGGTGACGGCAAAGCCGATGGAGAACGGAGCCAGAGGGCCCTGCGTCCGCTCGTCGATGGCGCCCATGCATACGGCCAGCGCTAGCAGTGCCGTCAGGATGAGCTCCGCCACCACCGCCCCCGCCACCTGCCCCGGCTCCTGGACCGTCACAAAGGCCGCCCCGGACGCGTTCCAGAACTTCTCTTCAGGACTCACTGCCTGTGGAGAGAAGCGGCTCAGCCTCTCCGTGGGGCAGGAGCCGAGGGGAGGGGGCCTCGAAGCGCAAGCCCCCAGCCGTTAGAGCAGCACGGTTCTGTCCGGTCCGCTCCAGTTTTTGCTGGGTGGCGCAGTGAGGGCCCCTGGACTTCTCTGAGCCTCCTTTTGCTCATCTGTAAAATGGGATCAGTGGCTGCAGGTGTTGTGGGCCCGAAGCTTATGTAACTAGATGACCCTCTTTGAGAAAAGGAATACAAAAATACCTTACTCAACAAACTTTGCAAACACCTATGGCCAGATGAACCCACTGCCAGTCCCCCGTCAGGCCCCTTGGAAGGGGTGAGGGAGCCCTGATGCTGAAGCGCCATTAGCTTCCCAGGTAACGAGCCTCAGGGGTCATCCCAGCACCTGGAGGGGGCAGACGGCAGAGCAAGCTTCTGGACCCCGGACCTAAATCTGGACTCCACTGCTCACCAGCGCTGCTGAACTCAGGTCAACGACACACTTCGCGGTGCCTGTGTTTCCTCCTCCATAAAGTGGGGGCGCTGATAATCAGAGCTCCCAGCTCGGGCACTGAGAACTGACTGCGGCTTCTTGGGACATCACGGCGAGATTTAAGGAATCAAGATGTGCAAACTGCTTCGCAGGAAGGGTGTGCTCCGTGACCAGAGCTTCTGCCCTGCACTGCTCGCTACCGTGTGGGCCAGGTGTGCAAGAGGCCCGGCCTGAGGGGGGCCTGGGAGCTGCTCTCCGCGGAGGATCAGAGCGGGAAAGTCCAGCCCCCATTCTGCACATGGGGGAGCGGGGGTCTCAGAGGCAGACACGGGGAGACCAGGGCAGGGGGGACAGCAAACAGGGACTCAAGACCAAATCTGCAATGGGCCAGTGCTTGGAGCTACAGACCAAAGCCCAGCCAGGCTGACAGGCACCCCCTCACCCCCCAGCCCCCACCCTATGCTCCCTAACACATGTGCCCACAAGGCCTACCTCTTAAAGGGCCCCTGGTTGGATTGAGACTTAGCAGCAACAGGAGAGAAAGAAAAAGAAGGGAAGGAGGGAGGAAGGAAGTGAAGGACGGAGGAAAGGGGTCCATCCGTGCAGTCACATGTGGAAGTATTAAACTGTGGCGGGGAGGAGGAGCTAGCCGTCCTGGTGGGAGGGAAGGTTCCAGACATAAACTGAATATTATCTCCCGTCACAGGTAGAGGGACTCCGTTTAAAGGCAGGCAACCTGGAGAACACTCGGAGAAGTTAGTCCGGGAGTTTCTCAAGGAGAGTAACTCTCAGTTTGTAGGTAGGTAGGTAGGTAGGTAGGTAGGAAGGAAGGAAGGGAGGGAGGAAGGAAGGAAGGAACAAGTAAATGAACTTGTAAATGAATGAATGAATGAGTGAATGAATGAATGAAAACACACTAGAAACATTATCCAAAGCCATTCTAAAGCCAGAAATGGTCTCAGGAAGAGAAACTTCAAGCCCCAAATTCTGCTTCCTGGTCTGTCCAGGGAAGGGCTGTGTCCAGATATGGACAGAACAGGGTATGTTTAGAGAAAACCAAAGGCCCCCTTCTCGGGAGAAAAGGATGCACCCAATCCCGCTGGAGGAAAATCCCACGGGAAAAGAGCTGGGCACCTCTGACTCCCTGCTCCCCTCACCACACTTCACCAGCCCAGCCCCCATGGGGATTACCCACCTTGGCCAAAGCGGCCCCGATCAGCCCCCCGCACAGCTGGGAGATCCAGTAGGGAAGGAGCATCACCAGGTTGAGGCCTCCGATCAGCATGGCTGCCAGGGACACCGCAGGGTTGAAGTGTCCACCACTGTCACCCGCAAAAGCAGAAGGAAGCCTTGAGACCAAGGTCTGGGCCGGCCCCCAAGAGAATGTGCCAGCCGGCCCCCAAGCCTGGCCTTGCAGTGCCAGAGTGAGTCCAGGACCTTGCCAGAGTAGAAAACAGGCACCAGATCTCACCCATTTTCCCGGAGGTGCCAGGTGGTGGGGCGAGGGATGTGGGGGAGAGCCGGGGAGGAGACAGCAGCCTCCTTCCGGTCCTACACCCAGAACCCACGGTGCCCAGAGAAAGAACATGGGTGACCATCCCTCAACTCCTTCCAGACTCACTCAGAGCTCCAGCCCTTGAAAGATGCAGCCACCAGTCAGAATGAGACCCCCAAGTCCAGATTAGTAGACAGAGGTATCCTGGCCTCCCCTTAAAAAGAGCTCCCGAAAGCTGAACTCTGCTTTTCTCCAGGCTGGAGTAAAACCCCCTCCCAATGTCAACCACACAGCGACCGAGCGCTTGGTGCGGGCTAAGCTCTCTCTGTCACGTAATTCCCACGCTGCCCGCCTGGGGCTTGCCTCCCGGCTCTGCCACTTACTGACCATGCAACCTTGGACAAGTCACGTGGCCTTTTGAGGTTACACCGGGAAAATGGGGATAATAATAGCAACAACCCCCAGGGGGTGTTGTGAGGATTCACTGAGTTCCTATGTAGAAAGTGCTTAGGGGCGCCTGGGTGGCTCAGTCGGTTAAGCGACTGCCTTCGGCTCAGGTCATGATCCTGGAGTCCCGGGATCGAGTCCCGCA